CTCAAACTGCAATTTTAATATAACAAAAGGACCCCCTCCCCAAAAAATGTTGTCTAAGGTTATACAAATAATTCAACTTAACCAGTGTTACAGGAATTAGAGTCCTACCAAGGCAGGGACTAAGTATGTCATGCCTACTGCTATATCCCCAGCATCTAACACAATCCTTGGTGCATAGTAGGTATTCAACAAAAATGTGTTGTGTGAAGTCCTAAAATCATTAAACCCAGAAGTTCCAATTGCAAAACAAAACCGTACGTTACGTTGCATCTCGACAAGCTGTCATTTCAAAAATCCTGTCAAAGCTGCTTAATAAAAGTGTTGGGTTGATACATCCCATGTCTAGAAAGTTGTAAAACAACTGGAGAAGGTCCAGAGCCAAACCTGACTTGCTCCAGATTATAGGGAATGACAGCCAGACTTACTGTTTGCATTCCTGTCTCTGCCTTTGGTGAACAGTTTCCGTTCTAACAAACTCTTCTCCTTTCTAATTTACGCTGGTATTTATGTGTCTAGTGATTTAATATCATATCACACCAGTCTGGCCTTTGGGGTGCCCTTGACTAGCATTTTTCTGATTTACCTTTACATGTATTATACACAAACTGGCCAGAAATCATTCATCTCAACACGAGCCTCTCAGGTAAGGATCGTGGTTTCACTTCTCTGTCCAGAAACAGCCTTCTCCGCAGACTCTGCTTAAGACCAGCTCCCCCACCCCCACGTCTTCTGTAAGCTTGTCCAGACACGGGGTACATCATCGGGCCAGGTCTTCTAGTCATTCCGCTGCTTGCGAAAGCAATCATTTATAGGCGTTTGGTGTTTTGTCTGACATCTGTTTGATGCTGGAGCTCCAGCCTTTGTCTCAATGAATCACTTGTCAGTGAAAGTTGGGGCATTGCAGCCTGGATTTCACACTCGCAGGAAGGGTTTGCCTGTGATATAAGTGATCTTAGGCTTTCTGAAATGACCAGCTCTCCCCATACCACCCCCCACCCCCAATCCCATGAGGAAACAGGAAAATGAGGGAGATTGGGGAAAGACTGATGCTTACTCAAGCTTTACTTTGATTTGCCACCACGGGCTAGAGCCAGGCTTTCCTCTCTGGGGACTGAGTTGCCAACTCAGCTCCATGGTCAGAATGCTGTTGCTAGAAAGAACCAGGCTGAAATATTTGTGAGGTATACTTTGAGAGCATCAAAATAAGAGGAAGAGATTTTTGGGGGGAAAAGAAAAAGGGAATTCACCTTTATTTGGTAGCTTGCAGATCATTTTTTTTAAAAGTGCAATTTGATGGCCATACCCATGTTGGTCCATGTCTAGCTACAGCAGAGGGGATCAGGAGTTGGACTGGGTTATAAAGCTGGCTGAGCCTAGCAAGGCATTAAATCTAGAATTCCCTTTCCTTATTCTGCAAGCAGGGTACTGGTGACCTCACAAGGTATTTAGGTTGGTGAAGTTGCTTTGAAAACCACAGGCCCACATTATTCCCTTGCAAAAAATGATTATTCATACAGAGTGCCCTATGCAAACTGTCGTGTGTGACCTGAGGACTTGAGGAGCAGAGCAGGACACGGAAGGGGCAGGTTAAGCCTGAGAACACCGTAGATGGCCAGCGAATAGAGCATGCTTCCTGGAGCAGAGATGGAATGCAAGATGGGATTATAGAGAAAATCTGATAGAGAAGTCATGGATTTTTTACTTCACCTTGTTTTGTAAGGAAAGGGAGATGCTACACAAGATGTATGTTGGAGAGATTCTTCTTTGTGACTTTTAAACTCTTTGCCTTGGTTTCACGGAAAGTGAAGAGGTTGTGACAAACAGATGAGCCCCCAAGAAGGGAAGTCAGAATTTCCAGATCCGAAGAGACAGTGAGTGGAAGAAAAGTTTTTCATTTAAGGTTTTAATTCGAAGAGAATAGGGAAGGGGAGGGGAAATTGATATCCCATCTGAGCGTTCTGCGTCTTATACAGGATCTTTTCACGTTCCTAAATTAGTGCAAGAGGGGTGGGTTAGGGTGCCAAAGCTTGGGCTCATCAGTCACTTCATGCATCTGAGTTGGAAAACATTTAACCCTGAGATGCAAATCATTTAATCATGCTGACTCAGAGGTGACCAAAAGCTGTGAGCCCTCGGGAGCCAGGAATTCCCAACATGATGTGGTAATGCATTTCACAGCGTAAACCTCAGATCTCCAGGACTCAGGCTGGGGAACTAGGGAAGGCAGAGCCTCTGCAATCTAAAGTTTCTGTGTAACAAAGACAGACCCTCCCTTCCAAAGACATTGAAAATGAGGGATCCCAGGGGGCAACTCCCACTTCCAGCCCCACCACCCCACACATACCTTTTCATTTCTGTTTGCGCCATTGGGTCAGAAGGTTAATGAAAATGCACTCTAAAGTTATAAAATGGATGAAGCAAGGGATGAATATTAGTTTTCCATTCAAGTCTGAATATGCAATCTAGACATAAAGAAAACCCCATTTGCTTCAAAATCTTACAGTTCTGTCCACATTTGCTTAGATAGGTCCGAGTCACTTAGGAAACTGATAACTGCTAATTGCCTACCTTAGAAACAAGAATAGGAATGCAGGTTGGATCCAGCTTAGTAGTGACATGTTGCAAGTCTCTGTGTGCCAAATACTAAGTGTCAGAATCATGTTGCAATTGGGACCAAGCAAAAGCTAGAATTTGAATTTTTCATCTTTTATTGTATCTTTCTCTCTTGTCTTTCATCCATCATTTGATTTTTTCTTTTCATTCTCTCTTTTATAGCATACTCTCAGCCTTAAGGATGGGCCTGTACATGCGTACTGTTTCCTCTTGAATCACTAAAAAATAACTACTTATGTCCCAAGAGCATCAATCCATTGAAGGAAATAATTCATTGCACCAAACCGTGCCACTCAAGTTGGTTTTATGGCAAATATTATAAAATGATACTTTGATTGAAGGATGACATCTTATAATATCTTGAATCTGTTCACACAATCCGAAGGAACTGCTCCAATGAAAGTAAATTGCTGCTGAAGACAAACCAACTGGAAAAGACGCGCTTTTTTTTCTTTTAAGGTTTTCACAATGGCTTCAAAGGAAATGGGAATTAATCATTTGTTTTGACCCAAGAGCAGAACTTATTTTGGAGACGTAAATAGGCAATACAAATGAAAACAGAAATGTGAGACTCCCAAATGCTAATGGTGAAAGGAGTCAGTCTGGAAACATCAATTCTACTCAGCGTTTATTTTCATCTGAAGATAGTGGAAATCATTTCTCAATCATGGACAATATGAGTTCTCCTTGCCTGGCAAATGTCCACATGAATCTGTTAACCTCTAAGGATAGATGCAGTATTTTTAAATAGAAAGACAGGGCAATATGGCAGTTAATTAGCAACCAATACTGTAAACTACAGTAGATACAAAGTTTTATCATATAAATTAATTGCCATTACAAAAAGGCAACTGCTTTAGCTAAGAAGGTACAAAAACTGGTAACGTCCATAAATATAACAAGAAGCTAAGTGAAGAAATACATAACAGACTGTTTTTCCTATATAATATTTGAATATGCAAACTAAGACACCTGTGGCACTTTACACAAAGTAGGAAGATGACACACGACCCCCCCCACCCACCTGCCCACCCCCACCCATCCAGGCCCCACCCCTCCCCCACGTGGATTTCCAAAATATGGCAAATTCTAGGGTTACAAGGACAGGATGGTGCACGGAAGCAGCAAGACGGCGAGCTCCGACCTGCTAGACAAAGAAGGAGCCTTCTTGACAGTTGTAAAGCATTAGGCGTCAGACAGAAACTTGTCAAAAACAGCTGTTGTTGGGTACTGATTGATAATGTTTTCATTCTGACGGCTGAGACGCTGCAGACAGTCGTGGGTCTGAGGAGAAGCCCATCACTGGCGCACACATGAACACACACACAGACAACGGGAAGTCATTTAACAGATGGCTTAGGAGCACCCAGCCACAGGATCTTAAAAAGACAACATTCTACATTTAATGAACTTGCAGGGAAAGCAAGGCCTAATAATCATTTATTTTTCATAGAAGATGAGCACAACAGGACAAAACAAAAACAGGAGTTGTGTAACTGGTCATTGGAATAAAAGTTTTGTGCTGTTCATGGATTATACAGTGTTAAAAATATTCAAGGGTGCTGTAGACAAAACTGTATATGAATCACTATGGATCTTTCCTGATCCAGGCCATTAGAAAAAAGCCTAAAGAAGTGTTCGATGTTTTGAAGGTAATGACTGCATTAAAATCCACTTACAATATTAAACCACAAAAATTATCTTTGAATGATGTTAAGGGTCTGAAGTATATCTTCTGGAGAATTACAAGCTATTACATCACCCTGTAACACAGTGTGAGTCTGTGGTATTTGGGTATTTGGGTATCTATGCTACTTAAAAATTATAAACATGTTTTTATCACTCAGGGGTAGGGAGCAGTTTTCTTTCATTTGGCCACTTAGCTAGCGTTTTAAGTGGTCACAAGTCTACGAAGTGTGACAAAGAATATTTCATCTATGAACCTCGAAATCCATAGAATTTTCCTGATTTAGAAAAGATCAAAGGTGCTAAGCCTTAGTAAAACTGTACATTTATCTCCACGTAATTTTATCATTTAAATTCAATGAAATTCGTTCCAAAGACTGAATATGAGCCGTAAAATTATTTATTTGCTGCAGCCCCAGCATATTTTTAAGGGCAGACTGAAACCCCTGAAAATAGAGGTTTATAATAGAAATACTGATAGGCCTTTAACTACTAGAGGAAGGCTTAACAGACTCCATTAAACTACATTAGCACTTAATGATTGAATATACAGATGATTCTGTCTTTGATATCTCTGTTAGATCCATGCCAGCTTCAACTCTAACCAGTATAAACTTTACTTCTTTTGGCTGTTTTTAAAATTTTTTCTATTTTAAAAATTATTGTCTCTATTTTACTTAAACACTTCCAATTTTTAGAAAAAGATACCTATATTACATTGCAGCTTGACTTTATACAGGCTAATCTTTCCATTAAAAAATATTTGAGGACTTGATCAAATGTAATCAGTGATGCATGCATGGTTCCTAAATTTCCTTTAACTCCTCTCAAAAACTGAAACAGTCGTTTTGCTCTTAAAAGAGGGGAGTGAGACTTCAGATGTAATTGAGGAAACATTATGTATCTTGTCTTTAAGTTCTTCAAAGCCAATTTTGCTATGGCAGGATATTCCTTCCTGATAAGGTGATTAACTGAAGTTTTTGGTGCTCATTTTTCTCTCATAGTCTATAAGGTCAGCATACAAAAGACAAAAAACCAAAAATTAAGATAAAAATGAAACAAAAAACCCCAAGAGATCTTGAAAATGATATACATGTTATGTGGAGTCCCAGTCACACAATACTCCACTTCCAAACCCAGGGAAAATTAGTCAAGGTCTTGTGAGCTTTTCTGAGTCCTTCATAAGGGATTTGATTTCCATGAGCCATGAATTCCATCCGTTTTAGCACAGAATATAGAAGAGATGCTTAGAACAACAGAAGGAAGAGACATGCGGTGAAGATAATTAGTGGTAAACAGAGAATAAATTCTCTCTCAGTAGTGTGTACTTGACGTTAATGCCGATGATAATTCACTTGATTTACAGAATATTCACTTTAATAGAGAGATGAGAGTCTGAAATAACTAGAGAAAAATAGATAATGAAGCCATTATAGTCTTGATACCAAAATAAAATTAAAACGAGAAACATGATAGGTTCAAGGCCTTTTGGGAGCCCATTTTCTTTGCCAGATTTCACATTCTTACAGCGTCATGTTCTTTTTCTTCTAACAAATTTATCAGCTGAGAGAAGCTGTCTTTCAGTGCATCCATGTTATCCAGCGAGCAGGGCTGCAGAATCCAACGTTTTCCACGTGCAAGTGGTTCAAGTTCAAAGTATTTTTTGATCTTGAGGGGGAAAAATAAAGAAAAATATATTATTAATTATATCAGAACCTTTCTCAAACCAACATTTTGAGTGATGAAGCGGGGGGATTTCAAGGAGAATTTATATGAACTGTGATGCTTAGGGCTTTCTAGAATCCTGTCCACAGCTGTTGTTATAACGTGGGTTATATGTTGTGACCTGGGAATGTTTTCTTTAGGGGTGAATGACCTGCTTACAAGCCACCACCATTCCACCCATACGCTTAACAGCATGGGAGGTCTGATGAAGTCTGAGAAAGAATTATATGCACCATGGCACTGGGCAAAATACACTGCAGACATGAAAAAGACTCATGTAATCAAAATAACTCTAGCTGAGGAGCTTTCACTATCTCACCCTGCCGACTCATCAAATTGGTGACAACCTACAGTACGTACCATATAAATTACTCAAGACTCCATTATTTTGACCATCAAGCATATAACACAAGAAAAAATCTGATTTAAATAATCTTTTTCTCTCTTTCCCTTAAAGTTCTAGCATCTATTTCTGAGACCTGGGAACCTGTTTTCTAGGAAAGAGGACAGAAACTGAGTGCGTGTGTTTGTATGCATATACAAACCTACATACATTTACATACATATATAAAGCCTCCCAGCGTTTTCTTCCCTCTCGGTCCTGAATTTTCTGGGAAGTATAAATTAAGCCCTTACAATAGGTATGTGGGGTAGCACATTTGCTGTCTTAAAAACGGGTCCAACTAATAACCAGTCACAAGACACTTGTATTGTATTGACTAACAGCAGTTAGTATTACCAAATCCTGTGAATAAACGTCAAATTGCTATGACTTCCAGAAGTATTGAGTTTTTCTCCAAAGGTATGATAAAGTGAAAAGTTCAGAAAGCTTCTCACACACACACCCACAACGTTATCTAAGAATAGAACATATTTATTGCCCAGTAAGGTTTTACATAACATACAATATAGTTAGTAGCAACATCAAAAGAGGCATTGTTCAAAGACATTCTTGGTGAACAAATTTCATTAAATCATGAAAAATTCCAGGGTCTTACTTTAGTCAATACTTGGCCCAGAAAAAAAAACTGTCTAAATTTTATATGCCATTCCCAAATGCGGTTTCATTTTGCCTGTATCATTGCAAGCATTAGACTATTGTTAATAGCAGAGAGACTGTTAACATCCAAGCTGGTATTAATGTTTGTACATTTTTTTCATGTGAGGAAGAAGATATATATATGTGCGTGAGATACTAAGTTATGCTAATCTAGGAACCAGAAATATGCTAACATTTTATAGTTCACGTGTGTCCAAAAAGTCCTCCTATAGATAGATGTCTTTAAATTCATAATACTAATTTAAAAAAAAAACCTGTGAGAATTGAAGGACCCTCATTAATTCTGATTCTGAAGAGTAATGAAAATCTCATTTACAGATCAGAAAATGGGTACATAACTCTAGAACAATTTTTTGCCTAAGGTAGTTTACAAATCATGTTGTTAAAAGGATTCTTGCTTGTTAAAAACACAAACTTCATTCTTTTAGTTTCTTTTCTGTAGGGCACTGAAAACAATTTACGTCCAAGAGAATCAGAAATTGCTAGTGCAATGTTCAGTACCAGGGACCAACTCTGCCCCACGGAGGGAAGAACTGCCAGTCACAGGGGCCCTTGGCCAGCAGGGGAGAGGAGTAGATGGGAGAGACAGGTGAGAATAAGAATTAAGTCCACTGCTAGAAGGAGAAGTGGGCTGCTCCAAAGAGCTGAAAATCAGAGATGTTGGTCTCCTTGTTTCTGCCACCAAGTGTGGCTTCAGACTGCTTCCCTGAGCACAGAAAGTGGGACTACTGTGCTTAACAGTGCAATCTGGTATTCGATCAATAATGCTTCCTATCAAATACAGCACACAACATTCAAAACCTGGCACATGAAGGAAGTTGTATCCTTGTCATTCTTTATAAACGCAAATCCAAAAGGACGGCATTTTCAGTATCGCTAATAACTGGGAAGAGGGCTGGTTGCAAGAAATTTGATAAAATTAAAATAAAGAAGAGCACCAAGATAGTAAATGCCTCTCACTAACAATACTTCTTCCAAGTGGTTCATTTAAAAATCGCACAGAATTGACCCTGGTAGCATATTTACATCTAATTTGAAAACAGTGTTAGCTTTAAATAATCTCAAGATATAATAGCAATTTGTGATATATTGCAGTACTGACCAGATATGAAACAGTGAGGTTTAGCTACCCATTAGGTTGGTTTCTAGGCAACTGAAAATAGAGTCTATCACGTAGGCATACTTGGAAGATGATAAAGATGTCTGAAGGTAGATATGCTTCAGAAGTTGTTCCTGCTGAATAGTAAACATGAGAAGGAAATGGAAGCTGCAGTGACAGGGTGGTCACCAGATAAAGCAGCCTAATGGTGTTAAGCTGACAAATACGGCTGGGTAACTTGAGATTTTCAGATCCAGAACTTAAGTGGGTAACTAACCCTGCCATATTCACCCCACCGGTATCCCGAGGATTCCACAAACTCCCTTACATTTATAATATCAATTTTAAAACATGTTTTGCCATTCCAGTAATATTCAAGCACAGAGAGTGAATATTTGCTGCTGGAACACAGCTTTTCATTACTCAGAGTTCCATGTTTCTAAAAACAAACACTACAGTACAAATGAAGACTTAATACTCTAATTCTGACTTTTTTAGGATAATGTTTTTATTTTGTGTTCTTATGTTAACCTGAACTTCAAATTTTACTTCCCCTGCATTATTACAATAACAATTACAGTCACATTTGACCTGTCTGCCATTGCTTTTTTGTCCTTGAATATGTTGATGTATGATTTTAAAGAACGGTGTTTAAGTTTGACCAATGTAAGTCAAATGCTGATACTGTTTTCAAGGTTAAAAAAAAAAAAACCTACCTGGGATGCAAGAATCTATTTTTTCTGATGGACATACATTTTTTAAAGGTAATTTTCTTATCAAGATAAAAATTTTATAAATGACTTACGAGAAAATGAAGCTAAGTCTTCTGACTACTTTACCAGTTGCTTAAATATGGTTAAGCGGAAACTGCTGGAATAAGGAACCAGTGATCGTTTCACACTGGCTTTTGGAGACTGCACTTTGGGGAATGACATCAGAATAGAGCTGCCTGGTAACCTGTGATCATTTATCTATTTTGGGAATAGCCACAGAGAGTGGGCATTTGTTAGTAGCCATGTGTCCACCCTAGAGATAGGAAAACAAAGCCACATCAGCAGCCAACCTATTTCAGCTCTGTCACCAGAGTCCTTCACTCATGCCACTGCCTGGTAATTTGCATCACCGCATTCCACTATTCACACATTGCATTCGCTGTAAAGCCCTAATATAACAGAGACGATGGCACCATCGCATTGCTGCTGATGTCTGTAGCAGCTGGTAAACCTGTGAGACATTACATAGCACAGGAGACCCACTCATTGGGTAGGAAATGTCCTTTAATGTCCTCTTGAGTAGTGAAATCATCAAATAATCCTTTCCTGGCTCCAGGATCTCTAATCGGGTAATAATGATGTTCACTGATTTCCCTGTCTTGCCCTCACTTCGGATACAAAATTTTTATTAATACTTTCAATTCTTGCCAACCTGGTATGACTAAATTTCTAGCAGTCATAATTTTTGAACTGCAACAATAGATTTTTCCTTTTTAAAAACCCATAAACATCATTTTATTTAAAATAAGCTGCTTGTTTTTCCCATTTTTGTTTATTAACAACCATGTAAGTAGTGTGCGCCCAGAGTTGACCTAGTTTTCCTGAAAGCACTCCAGGGAGCAGGGGAATAGAACAGTCTGGAAAGGGTGTATTTAGTGTTTCGATGTGAAATAGAATCAGGTTCTAGGCTCAGATATTTACAGAGCTTTGACCCATATGAATGTGTGGTGAGACATTAACAAGAGAGTCAGGGTACTGACAGTTCTTTACTGTGTGGGTCTCCGCTGTGAATCACAGAAGATACCACCCCTCCTTCTAGTGCACTAAACGCCACTAACGCCAACCAGTCATTGCTAAAACTAAAAATGCCCGCCCTTGCCACGTCAACACATCCCCTCGGTGGTCCGACCCTGTTGGGAACTGCTGCTGCTCTTGTAGCAGGTGCCTCTTGCCCCTGTCGGGGGCCATTATTTTTTCTGCAATTCAGCACTGGGGACAGAAGCTGGCTATCTGCATTGCCCATACTTCCCCAGACCCCGTCTACACACAACTCGTATACTCCCTCTGTGAAAATCTAGCACATTCTAACTGACCCTTCTTAAGGTTGTGGTGGGGGTTGTTGTGCGTTGTGGTGGGGTTGGGATCGGTCTGAGGAGCTTTGGAAAGTTTCGTCCTGAAAGTCGGCTTTCCACCACTTCATTCACTCCGCCACCACCTCCGCATGCGGCCGTGGTGAGTGTGGGTGGGCGGCACGGCGTGCCCTGATGAGCCCCGTGCTGGAGCGCCATGTGCCAGGGTAGAAGGTTCCACAGAGGAGAGCAATACTGTAAACCAAACCAAAGCAGAGACAGCAACAGCCCGGCCGGAGCACTGTCCTCATCATTTGTGTGACAACAGTTCAGGGTTTCTTCCCCCCTGGGCTTTTTAGTGACCATAAAAGACTATTTAATACTGCACTGTTTACTAAGGGCTTTTTCACTTATTTATAACACTTGGACTGTATTTGGCTGGAAGCAAGAAAAACAACTGATTCAAATAAAGACGGATATGATTATTAAGTATAGTTCTTAAATCATGGAACTCAATTTGAATAAAAAGTACTTTGATAGATGGCTGTTAAAAGAAATTTTAGAAATAAAGGCACATTCTTTTTCCATCTCTGAAAAAGGAATCAGGTCTCATGAAGGAGGCTAGGCTGATAACTTCAGCTCCTTCATACAGCTAGTGCAGACTGGGTGAAGATCTCAAACCAAATACAGAAAGCCAGGGATCTGATGGGTGGCAGGGCAGG